AGGTAATTAATAATCAGGGAAATACAAAATCTAAAAAATAATGCATATCCAGCTCTGCATACCAAGAGATGACAGGAATGTAGAGAAATGGGAACTCTCTTACATTGCTGGTGACAGTAACAATTGACACCTTTTATGTACAGTTCAGTATCACATACTAAAGTCTACCTGTTTTGCAGCTATTCTACTCCCAGTATACTCTTGGTGGAAATGTGTGGGCATGGGCACCAAGACACTTAGTAGAATGATCATTGCAGTATTTGCTCATAATATGTGAAAATTGGAAACAATTCAAATATCCATGGAAGAATGGATGCATTTTCTTGAATATTATCCATACAGTGGATATTAAACAAATTGCACATCCAGTATAACAACATGGATGAGTCTCAAACATAAAGTTGAGCTAAAGAAGTCAGATATAAAGGAATACATATTTTGTCCATTTATTTAAAATAAGAATATGCAAAACTAAATTATGTTTAAGGAATACATACTTAGGTGGCAAATAAGGAAATTACCATAAAGGTTAGGATAGTGATTACTTTATGGGGAGGGAGTGCGTGGAGATGCTGTAATTCAGAGCTGAAGGATGCTATGAATGTTCAGTTACCTATCCTGAGAGGTAGTTATGCAAATACTTATTTTATAATACTCATTAAATTGGATATTCATATTTTATGTAGTTTTCTGAATGTGTATTATACTTTACAATTAAGAAGTTTTAAAAACTGAGGAGTTAAATACATGGCACCATTTACGGCCCTACATTATGATAAGTTTGACACATGTTCTTGCTAGTGAGGCTGATGCTCATAATACATAAATTATTAGAAGTATTTCATTTATGTACACTATCACATTGGTGCCATACTCTGCAGGCATGGCAGAAGCTACTGGACTTTTTTCACAACTGAGAAAACGAAAAAGTCTAAAGAAGTTAAGTGGTTTATCAAAATCCACATTGCTAACACGTGACAGAGGTGAAACTTGAAACCAGTGCTTATCCCTTAATCTCCCAAATCAAAGTTAAAAATCAGAACAATGTATATCTGCTATAATTGGTATTTTAAAAAGTGCAAAATAGTAAGTGCTGGAAAGGGTGTGAAGTTGGAACCTTCCTGCATTGCTGATGAGAATGTAAGACAGTGAAGCAGCAGTGGAAAATAGTTTGGCAATATCTCAAAAAGTTAATAGATTTACTGTATGACCCAAGAAATACATTCCTAGGTATATACCCAAAGGAATCGAAAACAAAGACTCAAACAAAGAAATACTTGCACATCAGTGTTCACAGCAGCATTTTTTACAACAGCCAATAGGTGGAACCAATTCAATGGTTCATCAACAAATGGACGGATGAACAAATATGATGTACATATATAATGAAATATTATTCAGCCATAAAACAAAATGGAATCTGATATACAAAACAACATTGATGAACCTTGAAAGCATGCTGAGTTAAATAAACAGACACAAAAGGACAAATATTGTGATTTCCATTTACATGAGAATAGGGAAATTTGTAGAATAGGGAAATTTATAGATGTCACCAAGGGTAAGGAGGAGGGGAATGAGAAATTTTTGTGTTTGTGTGTGGTGTTGGGGATTGAACCCAGGGCCTCATGCATGCTAGGCAAGTGCTCTACTACTGTACTATATTTCAGCCTAGAAGGATGGAAAATGGGAATTAGTATTTAATGAGTATAGAATTTATGTTTGGGATGATGAAACTATTCTGGAATCTGTGGTGATGGTAACATAATATTGTAAATGTACTTAATGCACTAACTGTATTCTTGATAATGGTAAAAAATTATAAATTTCATGTTATATCATTTTACTATAATAAAAAAGTTTTCAGAAAATACTGGAAATATATTCTGATGAACTTTGCCTACTCTCCATTCCCCCACCAGGCAGCTGAGTTTATTCTGGTTTGGGGTGTGGGGGGGTCAGATGTCTTTGGTCCTATTCCAGGAAGATCCTAGAAAGTAGGTAGAGCATACATTTCCCATTTCCAAGGTTAATTTCCTACCAGTTTTGAAATGCTTCATGTTCTAGAGATCCTCCACAACTGACAAGAGGGAACATAAAAGACCAACCAATTCTACATCAATCAGGAATAAATGAGTGTGTGTACTATGTGTATAGGAAGAGGGTATGTGAAGATGCTCATGCCTAGCCTTAGAGAAAAGGAGTGAGGCTATGTGGGTGAAGCAGATGGAAATAGGGTGATCTGAATTATTTCTCCTTGGCATGAGGCAGCTGAGGTAGCCTGTTTTGTATATAAAAAATAAACTAGCATAAAGATAAAGATGTAATTTTCAGACTTTTTGGTGTTTTACAAAAACTCTTTAGACTTGGTCTTTAAATTTGCTTCCTTGAGGTAGTTTTCCTGTTTAAAAATTCAAATTGTATTACTTAACTCCATTGCAAAGAACATTCAAAAATATTCTTTAGTGTTCAGCTACTGTGGGAATCTACCAAGAGATAATAATGGAAATATTAAGACAAATAGTAAATATTATTTCTCTTTAATGCTTTAAGTAAGCAAACTGTTTCTTCTAATTTAAGTTCATATGTACTTCTTTATCTAGTCTTAGAAAAAGCTTTTAACTTTTTCTGCTTCTATTGAAAAGTTTGATTTTGTGACATGTATAATATGTTTTTATTTCAGCATTATTTCATACTTCATATTTTTGCAAAAATCATATAATTGTACCCATTAGTTTAAAAATTTAGATTCATGTACAATGACAATTATGTGAAATTGTTATGACAACATAGTATAGTGGTGATGAGCAGTGACACTAAAGCCGACCTTTATGGCTTTGAATCCTGGTTCACACTTACTAGCTGTGTGACCATAGGAAAGGAATTTGACCACTGTATGTATCATAGAGTTTATTTATACATAAAATGTAGCTAACAAGAATATCTAATATATAGAATTGTTGTGAAAACTAAGTGAATTAACATTTGTAAGCTACTTGAAATATTATCATGCTCACAGAAAATGCTATTTAAATATTTGTTTAATTAAATAGAAGTTAGCTGTGGTCCAGACTTTGCATTTTTATTTTTTTATGTGTGAAATGAAGATTTTTTTTAACACAAAAGTTTGTGTGAATATTACTGAAACATAAATAGTAATGTTTGCTTAGAAATTCTTTGTAAGAAAGTTGGTAGAAGTTACTCTTTACTATGTAATTACCAGTACAGTCAGAATGCATTTTCAAAAGAAGATAGATCTGTCAACTAATACAGAATAGTGGGTTTTGATCAAACACTTTAGTTGATTTTATACCTCTGTCCTAAATAGAAAGGGAAGCTTTTACATAATAAAAGGTATCAGATTAATCATAACTCCACTAACTCTTGACATAATAATTAATCAATATAAATTACCCATGATGTTAAGAAAATACATAATCTGTGATATGAGAAATCAATTATTTCATTATTCATCATTCATTATAGAATTTTGATTTAATTTACTTTGTTGTATATTATTTTACTGGTCTATTAACTTAATAATTTGAGCAATTGCTTATAGTTTTTGATGTTAGATAATAGATTTAGTGGATATTATTAGATAATTTATGCTGAAAATAATGTTTATGTATATTATGGAAAGTGCTGCCATTTTAATTTGAACGCTGTACAAAGTTGATTATAATGAATCCATTTTCTTTCAACAAAATTCAAATAAAACAAATATAAATATAACTTTCCATTGACAGGTTACGATAGTTTCCAATATTGTCTAACATAGAATAGTAGCTAATAGTATTCTTGACCTTCACTTTTTTCATTTATCTATGAATTTATTATTCTGTCACCAAAGGATTCTGATGTCAAATGAAGAGAATAAAATGAATATTTTTATTCTTATTGTTTATTTTTAAACCACTGCTAATTACCAGTCTCCTTCTGTTGCTACTTATCCTCTTAGAAATTTCTCATAGAGATCTTTGTTTTGACTTTTTAGCAAATTCCTTTTCAGGATTACTTGGACTTACACTTCAGATAGAGTTGTTTATTTGTATTTTTTCATTTGGATTTCCTTGACTGTTTCTCTCTAGACATATAAATAGGACCGGCATAATGCTAATCAAGGTTTTTCAAAGAAAAGGGATTATATGGGTGTACGATTTTCTTTGGAAATTCCAAATTTCCAGAGCTTTGAGTGAAAAGTAAAAAAAAAAAAGCAGCGGGGAGCATTTATCGGCAAATATGACATTAATCAATATGAAGTTACTCATTGTCTTTGTCTGATTTATTATGAACAATCACATATTTTACTATATTAATATTAATAGTTTATTTACAGGATGCTGCCCTGGGGTCCAGTAGAAATGTGTAGTATATACGCTATATTGTCTTTGTAAAATCAGGAAAAATCACATCGTCTAAAATACATTTAGTTGTAAGGGTTATACATAACCTGTAATGATCAGCACTGAATAGCCTAAGAATATAAAATTTCTAATCTAATTATGAATGTTAGTCTTTAACTTTTTCTTTTAGATTACCCTTAGATATAATACATCAACAATATATTTTAAATTCTAATCAGTATTTCCAGCTTCTTGGAAACATAATTACTGTTAATATGGTTTGTCAAAAATTCTCATATCCCATATTTTAAAGAAATATTTAGCTCCACACATTACTTACAGGGACTGATGATGGATTCTAAATTAACACGAGCCACATAAACAGTTTCATAGCATTTGAGTTCAATGATTGTTTATGGGATATCTTGAGATAATAATATCATATGTTGCATCTATGTTCAATTTTTTGAGTAAAGTTCTATGAGCTTCCTTGACCCCTGATCTTGGGGAGAAAATCTTTTTATATGAATTGCACTGTTATTCCAGTAACATTTTTCATGTAGGGTGTATAAATTACTAAACACATAGCCCTTTAGTGAGAAAGTTAATACTAATTTGCTTGTAATAATCTAATTTTTTACCTGTCATTTTTAGGTATTTACTACCAGGAAGTACCCAGTTCTTCATGAGGACACCAATCTACAACACAAAATACAATTCTCCTGGAATGACTCGCTCCAATATTTTGTTTACATCCCGATATGGCCATTCATGAAACTGAAAGGAAGATCCATCATAGGTCATGCATAATAGCAATTAATTTACTGCCTCAAGTTGAACACACAAAGACAGTAACCATTAAGTGCTGTTTTATGTATATATGACATATATGTGTGGAAATATATGCACACATGCACTCAAATTATATATGTATGTATATATATTTATTATAATATATGAAAGAAGAATTAGCAGAAAACTGAATATAAGATTTAACCTTTCTGGAAATGTAATAAACCATGTTAAATTGTTTACACAAATATGTGAATGTCTAGAATTTGCTAGGTTTATAATTCCTTCCTACTAGAAATGTTATTTTTGCTGCAGAGATTATAAAATGGAATTGATCTTGATGATCCCATTACAGTGTTAAATTATTTTCTAGATAACACGGCTTTTGACTTGAAAAAGCATTAATAGTATAATATATTATAGTTCTGTTACACTAGCCATTTAAAATGAAACACAAAAGGTTGAGAAGCCTGGTGTTGCTTGATGATGGGATTAAGTATAAAAATGGGCTTACCATTAATATACACATGTAAAGTACTAGAAAAAAATCCCAAACTGATTTTCCTACATTTTTATTCCTCTGTGTGGGAATTCATCAACATGTTGTAATAAAGTACATTTTCAGTAAGGATCTGGTAAGATCATATTATGATCTAAAACAGAAGACAATCCATTGGGCTAACAATAAAATGTAATATAGTTTATATCTTTACATTTTATAGGGAGTCATGGAAAGGAACAGAAAATGATGGTAATGACAGAATTCTATATGACTGTTGTGTCTCATAACATTTTTATTTGGAAAATATGTCTTTGATGGGTAAACATATGCTTAAGTACAATTCTTCTGCAGAAGTACAAGAACAGACATTTCAAACTCATTTTGGTGTTAAAAAAATAATGCATCACACTTATTATATAATAAATCTCTCAATCTTGACACCAATTTACAAAGTTTAGTATGGTAGTTTCTCATTACACCATGGAAAAATCTAAATGATTCTGAATACAAGATTCTAGTAGCCACATATTACTAATCATGGACATACCCTTGAGAAATTTGTTTTAATCAAAGTACAGTATGAAGTTTTCTTCCTGTCAAATGTTATTATGGATAAGTTTCATAGCAATTTACTTCGATTTCTGGCTTATGGTTTGAAAACCAATGAGTGAGCCTTTAGTTTTCCACAAATATATAAATACCTCTATCATTGAACTCCTTAGAAAGTATATTACTTTCAGAAATTTATTGAAACTTCCTCACCCAGTGGTTCTTCTCATAGATGCTAATGTATTTGCAAAATTCATGAATGTTGTACTTCTTTTTAATATCCTAAAATTTATTTCCAGTAAATCAAGAAACGCCTCACAGCAGGAGAACTGAGACAGGCAGATTGGCCTGGTTTAATTCAGAAGCTGGATAGTTGACAACCCAGAGTTGTAAGTCAGACAGATTTTTGCTTTAAGGCCATCTTCTGAGAGTGTTGGACCGAAATGATTTATTTCTTTCCTAAATTATTGCTCGTTACTTTATTCTTTTGACTACTTAACATCCACATTCCAGTTGGGAACTTTCTTTGCTGGATGCATCCCAGTTAATTTGCCATTGTCATTGTAGGAAAAGAGGACAAGATATCGGGATGAAGGAAATTCCTAAAAAGTGTTTAGGACTCTATTTTGTGAATTCTTAAACATGGTGTAGCTTTTCCAAAATAAATAATGTAAACACTGGGCTCTTATAACACCACTGTAAGAATGATCAAAAAGTCAGTCATTTCATGTAGTATTTTTAGTCATTTTTTTTTTTTCAAATTCATGCTTTGGCCATGAAGGAGACACAACTTGCAATGGCTGATAAATGCTGTCAACCCAGTTTGATGGTCATTCACTTGCTTTAGCTTAAGTCACAAATGGTCACTTAATTTTCTCTAGTATATGTTTTAGAACTTCTGTGTTTATTCATACAAGAGTGAAATTTTTATTTAAAATAAAAAATGAAAATGTTCAACACTGGGAGGAACCCTTCCTCCAGAAACACACTCACACAATTGAAAGATAAAAGTGAATTTTAAAGAATAGAATTACCCTGCTATTTGATGAACTAAATTTTACTTCTCTAGCTACATACATCTGGCCTTATTTTGAGCACTAGAATTTTATTACCCACATTTGCCTTTTCATACTGATCTGCTTTGATATGATGAGGTTATGAATAAAAGCCATTTGCTCATTGTTTATATATGCTACCTGGCATGCTGTGCACTCTAGCTGCTGTAGTGCTATTCCCTAATGAGCAACTAAGAGGAGAAGACACAATAATGAACCATGAAGTCTCCAGAGACCATAGAAATGCTTTTGAGACATAAAATATCCCTTAGTTTTTATTATAAATTTTTTATTCACAGGGTAAAAATATATCAGCATAAGCAATAGTACAAATTCAACTGTTTTTTTTTTTTTTTTAAGAGAGAAAGTAGCTTTATTTGAAAAACTGTGAAAGCTGTTCTCACCAGGGGTTTTAAAAGGGAATTTGGTTTACTTACAATGAAAGCATACTTTCACTATGATATAGAAAAACATACCCCTAAATTGGGTAAATCTTAAGACTGGAATGCTTACCAAAGCTATAAGATTGGGTTGATTTCCAGATTGTCTAGGAAAGAACCTTTTTATTTTAAATCATGCCATACCAACCCAGTCTGAGATTGCAAATTAGTTTTCACTCAAATATTCCAGCATTGTCGATTAGTTATCATTTGCTTTATATGATATATTAAAGGTACCGTTCTTCATATTTTGATTCATTTTATAAGCAATAAATTTTAATGCATTTAATTTACTGTAAGAATATAAAAATGATGTTGTAACAGAATCAAGCATGGAAATGGAAAGGGTAGCCTCTGTTTAGTATGTAGTTGTATATTACAGATAAGATGCCAGGATATGTACACAAATTTTGTTATATGTCTACGTTAGGTGTAAATACACCAAAATTTCCTTAGTTCTTCCTCCCCAAATTAAAAAACTACCAAACCAAACAACAAAAGTCCCTTTCTTTTCATTTAATATTTATGCACAATTAGATAATAGTGGCTTCTAGTCATAAGAAATTGAGGGCATCCAACTAAGTGATGTTCATCTAGCTGCCTGACCACAGACATTGTGGCCTTCTGAATTTGGGGGTAATTGGTTACAAAGCAATAGATAACTAATACATCTCAGAGCCTCTGACTATTCTACTATTAGTTTGACAATTTGTTTTTTAAAGAGATTATTATTGTGGCGTATGTAAAAAAAACTGAAAATGATCTTATTTTAATTTTATTTTTAACTTAGTAGATGAGAATGGAATTTTATCTAACTTGAAATTTCAGATGTTTTAATATAAATAAATTAAAATATCTTCTTCTTTAAAATGTGAAAGTCATTCTGTGTAGAAATTCTCTTCAACACACTACAATATTCAACATTTTCAAAAGTACCCAAAAAAGCTTCATAAATTTTATTATTTAATTTTCTGTAAAGCATTGATTCATTCTTAATTATATATTCTTCAAAAATAATAGGAAGTACCTCAGGAGTGACAGAAGATGCTTCCCATTTTTGTTTTGTAATGCTAATTTACATTTTGAGTCTTGGTTTACTTCATTCTAAGAGTTAACAATAAAAAAATGTAACTATTTAATGAATTGTCTTCCTGTGATCTGATGATTTTTTAAGTATTTGCTCTTCTTTTTAAATTGAGAAATTTGTTTTTGAGAGTCATATTATCTAAATCTTTAGTTATCTAAATATTTTGGACTAATGTTAACTTAAAAATAAATTAAAATTTAGAAATATATTCATGATGAAAATTTTATTCCTTACATTGCTTTCTGTTTCTCTTCTCCCTCTTATCTTTCTCCTTCTCTGAATGCCCTTTCAAGCTTTGAACTTTGCATGGACAAAGTCAAGAAAAGAGAAATCCTGCTTTTTAAACATTCATTGTCCTTGAATTTTATGGTATGTGTTTGCCTGAACAACAATAAAATTTAGATCCAACATGTTACTGGATCAAGTTCAGTTTGCTGAGATTTTTAGGAACCGGGTTGAAGTCTCTATGCCTAAAAAAGCATTAATTACTGGATCCATACAAAAAGCAAGATACGTGGCTACAAATAACATTCTTGCAACCAAAAGTTTTAATATTAAAACTTATTGCACACTTTGAGACTGCCGCCATTTTTTTATCTATCATAAATATGTATATAATATATTGAAGGAAAATTGTTCAAATAACATATCCTGTATTAACTGGGCTGTCTTACCTAAGAAGAGTAAATAAAGCTTTCATTTTATCCCCTGCTACTAACTTGAAAGCTATTGGTAAAACCATCACTCAATAGACTAATTATTCTTAAATTAGTAAGAAGACTTACCTTACAAAAGTGACCCTATAATGCTGATATTTCTCTTTCAAAGGCTAACCACAATTCCCTGTCCTGAGTTCATACAGTAATGACTATACATACTATAACATGTGATTAATGGATTTACAGAAGGTTTTGGATTTGAGGATTAGCTTAAAAGCAGTACATGTACTAACACAAATCATGACTCAAATATTCCCATGTGCTTTACAACCTGTATATGAATCCAAATATTGTCACAGAAAATGTGCTTGAAATGTTAACACAGTATGCAATTAGCATTGCATTGTCATGCTCCAGCATGTGGTATCTGTATGGTGAAGTTATTTCAATTACTCAGATATGTTACTATAATAAAAAAGGTTTAACATAAGAAAGCCTACAGTATGTCATCAAATGCTTATTTCTGTTTCTCTCTCTCTCCACACATACCTCCCTCTCCCCCTGCTTACTTTAGTAATAGAGATTGGTTTCAAATTAAGCTTTCAAGGTGATGAGATATATTTTCACAATAATTTTTGCTGCTGTACGGACAGCAGTAGCACTATCCAGGATAGTGCTACCTGCCATTAAAGTCAGGTCAAGTAAACAAAATGGGTTTGAACTCCTCTTTTGGTTAACTGGAAGGCAGATAGTTCTAAAATTTAGAAATTTCACTTTTATATCTTTCTAGTATTGTGGATTATAGGAACAGTATTAGTAATCTGATTAGAATTATGTCAGAATCTCAGGCATGAAGTTCATTTTTTTTCTGGAATTTATAATTATTCATCATTGTTGAAATTTACACAGTAAGCTTCAAAAGGAAACATGTCCTATTGACCTTCATACCGTTGTGA